ATGTTATGAATAATTGCAAATAGTAAAAAACAGCAATGTCTTATCCATAACTACTTCCTCTTGGATATTTCGGGTCATAGAGAAGTGCATTTCTCAAACAAACTACTACTTGCTGACTTGCTATTTAAAATAATTCTGGAGGAATGCATAATCAAATAAGTGCAAGACTATAGGAACAAAATATTTACAAAACTGATTTGAAATTGGTTTAAAAGAATTTGACTGTATAATAACCTTGTTTATCGAGTGACAAAAATCGACTGTACAGTCGAACAATTTGATTTCGTGAAACTGAAACAAACGAGCTCAGTAAAACTGCAAATACACCAGTGTATTAATTTACCACTAGATGTGAATTATAAGTAAAATATTTGAAATTGTTTGTATTATTTGCTTGGCTTTCACTTTTTTCTATTAGCCTTCTTGCTCCATCGACAAACCGATAAGTAGAAAATTAGAATGAAATATTCAACAGCTGGTATCGCTTCCTTTAAAAATACTGATACTCTTCAGATTACGAATAATTTCTGTCATATCAAAACACAATAAATAGTCTTGAATGCTCCAAATAGATCTGCCTACAGCCAATCATAACAACTCTTCGGTTCCAGAATTGATGTATTTCAAAAAAAAAAAAAATAAAGTAAATTTATAAGAAGCATAATAAAGCTTACACCCAGTCTCTGCTGAAATCACTTGAATTTCATCTTCTTGTAACATCAGTGAGCTACTATTCCCCATACTTGACCAAAGAAATTCTCTTGACTAATTCAGTAATACTTGATTGTAGACATAAGCGCACAGAACAATCGTCTTTTTAAATGAAAACAATAAAATCTTTTTTAAAATTTAATAGTAAATGGATAAATGACGTAAACTATCAGATTTACCGAGTTTTTCGTTCATCATGCCTTTTGAATAATATAACAACAAGATATGGAAGAAATAAAGCCGTAAAGAAATTAAAATAAAACAAAGAATTCACCGTGGCCAATAAATTGAAATTTAAAAAAAAAAAAACGATCGCAGAGAGATTAAAAGTCATTAACAGTATCGAAAAGTATTCTTCAATAGTGACAGAAAAGCGGTTAACCTTCAACCGACAAGACAGCTGTAATTCAACTGTACCATTAACTGTAATTCAACTGTACTACTAACATACCATTAATGATGTTAAATTATCAGAAAATCATTATGGGTTAAATTTACACTGCGACACCGCACTACATATATTATTCCCATTATTCTCACTATTTCAATTTTATTTTTACACTGAAAGATCACTCTAATCGATATTATTTAGTTAATTACAATAAATTATTAACATAGTTTAGTTCTTCCGATTAATCTATACTACATTTAACTGAAATACGATAACAATAAACTGGGAAGAGAACTACAGTAACCGTATAAGAGATGTACCATTTCTAACATGGTACACGTTAACACGTACGTATTTATCAAATATATCTGTACATCACATACATATACATATACACACAGACACACACATACACAGACAAACAGACGTCAGTTTGAAATGAAGAAAATCGGTTGTCGAATTGCAAATAATTTAAGAAAAAAATGAAAGAAAAATTCCAATTTGTTTATTGGAATTGAAAAGAAATGAAGTGAGAGCAGAAGAAAGTGGAGAAAGTGAGTAACAAATGAATAGAAAACGAGTTTCGGAAATATAATGAATTGAAGAACTAAATGAAAACCTGTTTGAACTAAGGCACTGCGCATGCAACAATATATTGATTGTTTACTTATATTCTTGAAATAAGAAAAAGTTTCTTAACTAAGGAATTTTCGCAATGATTGGAATTTCCATCAATTTCTGAGTCAACATTTGTACGTAACAAATCTTATAAATCCAATTTCATATTTAAGTCATATCTCTTCCTATTTACATCAGTGATTTTCAGTGTAATAAATGCAATTCGATGTTTAGAAAAGTGATTTTTTAGTGCGAGATAAATTACAAAAGCAGAACAATATCTCCTAACATCGGAAGTTTTCTATCGATCCTAACATGGCAGCAAGACTTGATAGAAGCTTCATAATCTACGAATATATTATATGAAATTTTTTTTAATATTTTTGAGTACCTTGAATCATTTTTCCACCAAATGATTGAACCAAAAATTTCAGGATCATAGTCCACAAGGAAAAAATGCAATCTTAACTTTACACGCTACAATTTGTGCGAGTTAGAATTCTGAAAACTCTGGACTTGCATACTTTTATCACCAAAAGCTTCATCATTTTAGAGACTTCCGCATTTACCGAAATAACAACAGTTCACATGGGTATGATCATCAGCAGCCAGGTTATAACAGTAAAGAAGCGTTGGCTATCAGAGCCCATATAAGTCAAGCGCATAATAGCAGATCTTTTCTTTCGTTTCACAACTCTTGTCATAGATAATATTCGTATCTGACATTTCATTATTGATTAAGGATGATATATAAGATACTTTTGAAAAGTTGAACCTAAGAAGGCGTCATCGACAAATGATGAATATCCAAGATGTAAGTGAAAAAGAAATAGTCAGAAGTGTTACCTCTCTCTTTCCTGCTTATGAATTCATTTATAACCAATTCTTGCTGGGCTTTTTTTCTTACATTTTTATGAATATTGTAATTAAGTATTGTAAGAATTTTGTGTGGCGCAAATGGTAGAAAAAGAAGATAATGGAGAAATGTAAAACATATCATCGTCTCGTGATGAAAGATAACAAATAAAACGAGCATAATGAATCACCATTTTATATACATCTAATACAGCTCCTAGCATCGTCAGAAGAACAGAAAATTTTCAGTTGGAATTTGAAAAAACCATAAAACCAATGAAAATTAACATCAAATTTTTTTAAAATCATGGAAAAAAATAAAACTAAACGTATGAGAAGACGTCCATCGTTTTGCAAACTACAAAACCATTAGAATTTTAAACTATGAGAAATAAATTAGGTCATAAAAAGATTTTCTATGGAAAAAAATTTTTTTTTCTTCTCTCATTGTTGATTATTGACAAACTTTATGACAATTCCTTAAATGGATTCCATTTCTTTTCTATTGTATCTATGTGTGATTGCAATATATCACAAAATTTTCATACGACAAAGATGGAAATTTTTATTTCAGATTAAATTCCCATCCACTGAAGAGTAAGTCACTGACTCATAATAACATGCAACGTCCTACAAAAACGATTCACGAAGTCTACATCATTATTTTATTCTTTAAGAAGTTATAATTTACTTCTAAAATGGCATCATAAAATAACAGCACAACAATTAAACTCTAAAGAAATTGCAACGAGAAGAGCTACAATCAATGCAATTTAAAACAAACATAATAATGTTAAATTATGGAAATAAGACTTATGAAAAGGTTATCCTATAAATAAGTAGTAACTGAACAACAAAATCGATAGTAATTTAGCTGAGCAAACGGCAGAAAGTGAAAAAAAAAACAGTAATGATAGATTGGAAAAATAACTGATAATAATAATGCTGGTAGAGAACATTTCATAGTTAAAACTAAACATAGAAAGTTTCTCTTCAAAAACAGAAAAAAGAAAACTTTATCCAAATATATATTTTATCTCAATTCACAGATCACAATAACCCATTTAAGAATAATACATATCTAATATGAAATACATGAAATAAAATTCCTGAAATGACTTACACTTCGGAAACGAACGACTAAACAAAGTAGGAAATCGACCGTTTTAGATTTTAGGCCTTCCATCAATAACTTTCAACAATTCTACACACAAATTTCTGTCGATAAACCAATGTACGCTTTCATGTGCATGGAAAAGAAATTTAATGCGAATTCAATTAATCTTGGCTAACTAAAATCATTCGAATTGTATATCTCAGTTGGTATAACGTGAACCAATGTGCCCAGGCATCAAACACCTACAGGCATTCATATCAGTAGTTTAGTCTGAAATAAAATGTTATGGGATGAGATGTTAAATTGATGGAATCAGTAAATAATTGATAGAAATGTTATCGATGTGACAAAGTGATGAGAAAAAAAAAAGCAAACACTTGAAAACTGTATGGGAATTGTGTGTCGTTGTAATGGGCCTTTAATCAAAAATAAGTTCCGCATTGCGAAATATAGCGTTTTTGCAAAATGGAATTTGTCCAAAATGTTTGCAGTTGAATTTGATTTCGCCTTTCGTACAGTCAAAAGTTCACCGCTCCGCAGAGAACCCATACGCCACGCACTTACGCACTCACCATCATTCACGTTGAAAACAAACTTCGTACCTTCCGAGATATTCCAATCGAACATTATAACCACTACGACATAACTTCGTCTCATCAATTGGGATCTAGTATGATCAATTGGGAATACCAATTGATCATATTATATTGATCATATTGTATTGATCATATTGTATTGATCATATTATTCCTCAAAATCTTACAACTTCACAAGTTATGTAAATTATTCAAAATTTTGCCCTTTTTTTTTCAACAAAATACATTATTTGAAAAGTTATTGAACTGGCAATTAAAACAATCGCAAATGGCAGTCAGAATTTAGCAGTTGCGTAATTAATTGCAATATTCCTTATTTAATATGCTAAAATGTTATTTCCACTCATCCATCTTACTTCATATTATTGGTATTTGATTTTGATATATATTTTTGAATTATCATATTTGTACACAATTAAAATCAACTATATAAACGTTGGTTACATATTCATATTAACAATATTATGCTTAAATACTCTATCATAAAAAGGATTAAATTTTTATGGTAACTTTTGAAATTTATGATAATTTTTGGAATTACATTTTTGTTGAAGCAATTGATGGATAATATTTTTGTGAGTGAGATTTCCTGTACACATGCAATTGACATTTCATATAACAATGATAACTATTGCAATTATTTGATTCATTCATCAATTAAAGACTAAATTTTTACAATTTTTAAAAAGCCAACAATGCAAATGTAAGGTCTTCCCTTACAACTGCAATTTTTTTAGCATCTTTCTTCATCCATTTTTTTTGCTTCATTTTAACTCTTGAATAACGTAAAATTAGAAAAAGAAAATAAATAGCTATTTTAAATAATGCAATTATTTTGAAAGCGACAATGAAACAAAATAAATTTGTTGTTAGCTTGCAAATTTTAAAGTCTCCAATGTATGATTATAGTAGTTTTGGATGTAATTAGACCATTCTGAATTACTTATAGACTGTTATCAATGATAAATTGTATTCACAGTACTGTAATAATACTGAAATTGTATTTAACTTGTATAATAAAGTCATAAATTAGTTATAACCATGAAATTGACCAGTTGTAAGATGCTTCAGTTTTGTAATTTTTAAGTTATATTGATTACAAATAACTTAATAACTTTGGCATTCATTTTTGCTAATGATATTAGTCTAATCAACAGCAATATAAAGCAAAACAAATGAAATAAGCAATAACCAAATTTTTGGTGAAGATAAAAAAAATCATGCATCCGATGCTTGTATAAATAAAGGAATTATTTTAAATCTCGACATAAAAGAAGGATGGAAAGATCAAATGCAAGCTACTGAATTTATTTCATACGAGATATCACTGAAATATCAAATCTTTATCACTTTTCATAATTTCTAAACGGCTTCGAGGTGAGTCTACAAAGAAAGTAAAATATGTTAACTAACGTAGCTCACGTGAAAAATATTCAACAATTTGAATAAAATA